ATGTAGTGGGTAGTGGAGGGAAAGGTAGTGTAGTGGGTGGTGTAGGAGCTGGAAAGTATGGATAAGTAGGTGTTCTAGGTGTTCTAGGTGAAGGAGTATCTTGCATTTATCACTGTCATCAAAGTCTCCCATGCCTGATTGCTACAAATGAGAACATACAAATAACAAAATTTAAACCTTATGTTAGTACAATAACAGTTAGCAACAAATGAAAATACAATTCATAAAGAGAGTATACAATAATCTTCCCATATTTCAATTCATAAAGAGAGTATACAATAATCTTGCAACAAAATTCAAACCTCATAGTCTAAAAATAACATAAGTTGGTACATATAATTTAAATTACATCCCAATATCGGTTGTGTCCCCACCATGATATTTATTATAATAATCATGCCACATTTCAACTGTAATTTGATCCCTCTTTAACCTCCACTCATTTCTTGAATCTCTTTCCTCTCTTTGCGTCATAGTTTGACTAAAGTCAACAACACCATCTTCATCCTCATTAGCTATTTCGCCAACATCATCTTCAATGAAATTATCCTCATGCAACAACTCATCTCCCGGGTCTTCTATGGCGATGTAGTTATGCAGTATAATACATTCGATAACTATATCAACTTGAGTTGAAAAGGGGTAATATGGCTTCGCAAATAGGATTTTAAAACGATTTTTCAATACCCCAAAGGTTGATTCAATTTTAGACCTTAGAGATGAGTATCTTAAATTGAACAACTCTTGTCTATTATTGATTGGCCTACCCTTGTACTCGTTTAAATGATAACGCACTCCTCGATATGGGGAGATAAAGCCGGGCATAGTAGTGTAGCCCGCATTACACAAATAATATTTTCCTACAATTACCAAAAAAATATTTAGTAAACTTTTTAATTTAAATTAAATAGGCATAATGTATTTGTTTGATTTATTACCATTGTAAACACTTAATCCGCGAGGTTGTGGTCTAGATAGTGCATCTTGCAAAACTCTATAATCATTTGCGGATCCCTCCCATCAATCCGCGAGGTTGTGGTCTAGATAGTGCATCTTGCAAAACTCTATAATCATTTGCGGATCCCTCCCATCCAGCTAGAACATACGAAAATAACTTGTGCATCTTGCAAAACTCTATAATCATTTGCGGATCCCTCCCATCCAGCTAGAACATACGAAAATAACTTATTGGGAGTGCATGTAGCTAAAACATTTTGAGTTACAGCATTACGTCCTCTAAAACGTGTAACAAGGTTAGCGGGAAGCATGGCGTCGATATGGGTTCCATCAATCATGCCAATACAATCATATATGATATATTAAATAATTATTAATAATAAAAAGGTAAAAATAAGTGGTGTGTTATAAGAAGTTTAGTTATCTTATTGATTACCTTGAAACAAGGATAGTATAATGGTTTGGATGCAATTTCTGACGATAATTCATTTGGTGCTTGCTTCATGTATCGTCCTCTTAAATGCCCCATAGCTTCCAAGCACTTATTAAAGTATTTTGAAACGGTTTCACTCGATCTTATGAAATATGACTTAACAATTCTATTTTTTGTTTTATGGCCCAATATATTAAGGAACATGAGCAATTGCTCTTCTACTTTATCACCACGTGAATCTTGTAGTAGGCCGGTATATCTCATTATGCTAACAAGCTTTTCAAATGCGTGTGGCCTCATTCTAACATAAGCCCTACAACTCTCATTGAAACCATTGAACACACGACTTATGTGCCTAGCTCTAGAAACTATCTTCTCTTTTTGCCCTGTGTTAGGGTGATAACTGATTGATTTCCTTCGACTACGTCTCCTCATTAAACAAGCAAACACACAAATGACCGCATTTCTTCATCAATATCATCCATCTACATGGAAGTTTAATATACATGTTCAACTTGATTTTCACCCAAATTAAAACACTTAAAAAGGAGTTGTAATAAAAAATATATCTAAAACATGAGCATAAGTAACTTTTGATGTCAAGAACAAGTCAATGCATACCTATTCAAATGAAGTGATTTTGTTTTTGAGCATAAGTAACTTTTGATGTCAAGAACAAGTCAATGCATACCTATTCAAATGAAGTGATTTTGTTTTATACTAAATATTTTGCTTGCATTTTTTAACAAGTCAATGCATACCTATTCAAATGAAGTGATTTTGTTTTATACTAAATATTTTGCTTGCATTTTTTAAGTACAAATTCATTGTCAAAATCTAGTGTGTCAGTAATGCAAATTTATACCCATACGCATGCCTGAGTTCTATTAATACAAGATGACATCTTTAAATCAACACATGAGTGCATGACTATATGCACTATAATTGACCAAAATAGAAATTAAGAATTTTGGCATTACGTAAAACATATTTATATGGAATAATATGTGTGTATCCCTTCTCTTTTTCACTAATATATTTTAAGTTTCTATTGAGTTTCCTTAATATTATATACATCATTTACAGGTTTAAAAATCTATTATCAAATTTTTTTAAGTAATCTATGTAAATTTTAAACTCAAAAGTCAAACCAAATACAAAGACTTATATCAAAGTCTTTGTATGTTGTTCCGAACACGTCGATACTAGTTATAGATATAATATTACAATAACCTTTTATCAAAGTCTTTGCACTTTGAGTTACATAAATTGGTACATCATTCTTAATTAGACAAAATTAGACATAAATTAGTACACGGTCTAAACCCAACTGAACCTAAATCAATTTCACAAATTGTTGGCATATAATAACAATAAACTGAAAAATTTGTCGGAGAATAACATCATTCTGTTTAACAGTTTGTAACAAAGAAAACTCAGAAAACAGCATCATCAGAAAACAAATCATCGCCATGATCTTGAAACTGAAACATCTTCAGTTTCCAGTTCCTGTTCGTCCTGAAAGTATAGTGGAAATTCCCAACATTAAATAGCCAAATCAAAAGCAACAAACCCAGCAACCCAGATCACCAGCAACAAAATCATAGACCTCCAGCAACAAAATCACAAGCAACCAAGTTTAAAGCACAAGTCATCATTAACAAGTCAGCAAGCAAGCCCAAACAATTCCAGCAACAAAGCTCAGACTTCCATCTAACAAAATTTGTCGGCATATTCTAAACCCAACTGAACCCGAATTAATTTCACAAAAACCCCCAAATCAAGTATTTCGAAAACCCTAATTTTGAAGGAAAAGGGAGGAGATATACCTGTGTGGTCGGAGAGAGGATCAGTTTGAACCCTAGACCAGCAAGTGAGGTAGCCTCAGAAACCCCAAACCAATTTCAGCAAGTGAGGTAGGCTCAGCAAGTGAGAATAGCCAAAACAACAACAAACCAATAAACTTAGGACCAGGCGGAGCCAGGTGAGGTTGATGACGGATAGGAGGTCGTGGAGGCGGAAAAGAGGGAACGAGGCCTAGGGTTTTCGCGCGAAGAATGAAACGGCCGGTAAAAGAGGAGGGAGATGAAAATGAGCTAGGGGGTGATGGTATCAGTCGGTTTTAGGGCTCACGGGAGTTAGGCTGCTGAGGTGGACTGGGTTTTGTCAGACATCCACCAAAATCCCAGCTCAAAGTTAGGATTTACAAAATGCCAAAATTTGTCAGATATATGCAACTTTTGAATTTCATATCCCATAAATTTTTTTGAAACAAACAATGTTTTTGGAATCCCATAACTCAAAAAACCCCATTTTCACATCCTAGAATTTATAATCCCAAAAAAAACATGAAACAAACACCCCCTAAAAGAATATCGGCTTGGTCCACTGTGCCTCTGTCCCTTCTCATCTCAGTCCCCTTCACCAACCCTCGCGAAAAAAATAAAAGCGAAAAAAAAAGAAAAAGATGAAAGTTATCCACTCACGGTACATCAAACACGAGAAACACCACTGATATACCCTCACGTCATCCAGCTGTTCGAAATAATGCAGCTGATGTTCTCCAGCTTTATCTGGTCCAGAGGCCGTATATCAGGCCTGCGCGCACTGCTGCAGCCTGCAGCCATGCCAACGGCATGATCAGCTGCACCACATCATCCAGACTACAAATAAATTGTAGTGAAAAAGAAATCAGCAACTGTTCACATGCCACGTGTACAACAGACAACCAAAATGACACGCTGCATCATCATCATCATCTGTATCTATATGTTCATCGAATCCCCAGTCTGCTGTAAGCCTGGAAGTAGTAAACTATTTTTTTTTCTTTTTTTGGCTCTACATTATTTTCTTTTCTTCTTTTTACATATTTTAAGAGCAAGAAACTAAAAGGTCCCCGTCCCAAAAGTGAGAGAGAGGAGAGTCCAAAGGCAGTAGCGAATGATCCAAGAACCAGCTCGATCCATGGCGGTGATCGAGAAGGCATGCAGAGCCGGTGGCGCGGTAGGCGCCGCCAGAAAGATCTATCTCAGCTGGATCTGGGCGCCCACTCAGCTCCCGTTTCCTCAAGGCCCACCGCGAGGACTTGAGGCATCCAGCTGCGTCCCGGTTCAACGGCGGAGGCGGGGGCGACGGGTTCAAGAAGGAGATGAGGGATTTGGAGGAGCTCTTATCGAAGCTGAATCCGATGGCTGAGGAGTTCGTTCCTCCATCACTTAACAGTAGCGGGAGTTACTCTGAGGGTTTTTTTCATGGCGGGAGAAATGGGGAGGGGATTCCTGGCGTTTACGCCAATGGGTTTGGGCTGAACAATGGGGGTTTTGCCAGAAAGGTTGACTTGACATTTTCTTTAATTAAATTGTTTAAAGTTTTCAGTTCTGGTTGTTGTTTGATTGATTGATTTCTTTGGTTTGAATAGAAGAAGGGTGGGTTTAGTAATCAAGGGATCCAGCGAAGGATGAACAACAGGACGAGTATGGCACAGAGAGAGGATGCCATCAGGAGGACCGTTTATGTTTCAGACATTGATAACCAGGTATTTTATAGTTACATTTTGCTTAAGAGATTATGGATTTTCTTGATTCCTTTGTTCTATTGATAGTGAAGTGGAAGTTCCATATAGTGTATCAGGCTGGGTTATGTTGAGGGTATTGATGAATACTTAGTACCACTTTCCATTATATTAGTGAATAAATTTGATGTTGCTGTTTTCTTGGGATCTTGTTTTTGTTCGTAAATATCTTAATATGAGAGTTCGATATGAGAGTTCTTTTGGATTGTTGAGTTTGGAATTTGCATAGATGTGTAGACTACCTTCTTGGATACTCCTTTCCCCATTTCATCTTTTATGTTTTAAAAAAATACAGCTGAAGAATAGATTACGGCGTACAGCCGGTCGGCCTTAATGATGTACTAATACTTGTGAAAATTTAGGCTTTGTAGGTAAGGTGAAATAGGTTTTGTCTTTTATGCCATCTTGTTTCAGATAATTATGGATGGAACCATGAATTCAAGTTGGAAGAATGTTTCAGCAAGGAAAGGAATATTTGTCTGTCATGAGAGCATCTTATTGAACTTTCTATGTAAGTTTAGGGTTCGTCTGCCACTTAATAGCAGTTTTGAAATTATTATTTTTTGACTTTCTCGGTATTTTGAAGTATATTTCTATCAATATATTGTAATAATTTTCAGCTACTTTTGAGATGGAGAATTGTGTACAGATGGTTTGATCAACCTTCTTTAAATGGTTTATAAGCAAAGAATCTTGCAGATATCTTGCAAGCTATTTCTTTAATTTTGAGTTAAAACCTTTTAGTGAAGTTGAATTTGAAACAAGTCTTCTTCAAACTGTACATACATGTGGACACTAATCTTAAACAGATGGAGAAAATCAGATACGTAAAGATATGTGAGTTTAATCTGGCTTATTTCTCCTTTGATTGAGACATAGTGTCATAGTTCATTCATACATAAGCAAAACTCCAAAGAGAATATTTCTAACACCCACTTTTGCTGAGGTGGAGAACAAATTCGACCACTCTACCTACATCATTTTCTCTCAAATCAAGCAGCAAAAACTGTTGTTGGCAAGTTTCTTTGACAACAATCATCCTTTGGGTCACAAATTCCATGGATTTCTTAAAAATTCATGGAAGCAAAAAGCCTCAAGGCCCTAACAATTATAGTAGTTGGAACTAAACAATAAGAAAATGGTCCAAGAACAAATTCATACCAAAACAGGAGCTGCCATACGAGACTTTATAAATAAATAACCCTTACAATTAATACTGAATCATACAACGGTGGACGTCCTAATTGAAAGTCAAACAGGTCAATGGAATCAAAGCTTGGTGAGGGATTTATTTTTACCTTTCAAAGTTAAACAGTGCTAAAAATTCCTTTGAATTCAAGAATGCCATTAGATAAACTAATATGGCATTTCGAGAAACATGGTGAGTTTACAGTTAGAAGCACCTACTATGTAGCAAGCAAGACTCGGGTGACATATGAGGAGGTACAAAGAGCAGGAACATCAAATCCCAACTAATTTTATGCTATCTGGAAGATGATTTGGAAATGTAATATCCCAAATAAACTGAAGGTATTTGCATGGAAGCTCAATAGAGGTGTTCTCCCAACCAAAGAGCTTTTGAGAAGAAAGAGTTGTAGTGGATGAGTTATGTAGTTTCTGCGGCAATGCAATTGAAACAAGCGAACGTATATTTAGAGATTGCCCATTCGCTAGGCAGGTGTGGTTTGCTTCTACTAATTGGTTTTCGGATTGATTGTTTTGTGGGCCTGAGCATGAAAGACTGGTTGTTACAGATTCAAAGAATTTCAGATGACAAAGTGTGTGAGTATACCTTGGCAATTTGTTGGGCACTATGGAAAGGTCAAAACAGTCTTGTCTTCAAAAATAAATAAAAAATGCTCAGTCGAGAAGGTCGTTGAGATGGCTATAGACACTATTAATTGCTTTAAATTTTCTCAGGTGCTAAAGAGCACTAATGTGAAAACCTCCAAGTCTAGAAAAGTGGAGAGCACCATTGATCGAGAGATGGAATAAGCTCAATTGTGATGGAGCAATGTTTGAAGCTACTACAGAATATGGCATAGGAATGGTGGTCAGAAATTTTAGAGGGGAGCTTATGTTGGCAGGGGCTGTCAAGAAGGAAGGTGGAGTTGATCCATTAACCATTGAAGCGATAAGTCTGATGGAGTTTGAGTATTGCTAAAGAAGCCGATTTCTTGTTCCTAGAAATTGAATCTGATTGTGCTCAGCTGATGGCAAAGGTGAAAAGTAGAGAAACAATGAGCTACTTTGGACATATCATTTAAGACATCCTTGTCGAGCTACAAAGTTTCCAAGGGTGGAAAATCAAGCATGTTTGTAGAAGAGGTAACCAAGTGGCAGATGAACTAGCTCACATGGCAAAAAATCTTAATGAGGTTACTATATCGGTAAAGGATGTACCTGTCAGTAGTCATCCTTTTATGTTGAGGGAAATCTTGATGTGTAATGTTGGGCTTGTTCCATTCTTAATGAAAGTCTCCTTTTTTGATTAAAAAAAAGGTATAAGCTAACCCCTCAACTTCTTGATAAAGACTCATTGCCTACATTTATAGAACTTTTTTTTTGTATTTTATAGGTATTAGCATATTAAAGTTAGCTGAGAAGACACCAAAACCATTGCAGACGTCATCATTTATGATCCCAAATCAGCTTAGAATAATGTTCCAGATACCATCTCTTTGGCTATATCAACAAGCTTGACCAAAAATTAAATGTCTCGTCAGAAGGGCCTCTCCTTTGCACTACATCTGTGTGCATGGTCTCAATAATACATGCATGATTTGGTTCTAGAATATTTCATGTTTATCTATAAATGTTATTGGAATTTGGATAAAAGCCTTTATTTAGATAGTATTCTTTATTTTCTTTCTCCCCTTCTTGACCCTTATTTTCATCTTTAAGATTACTTCACTGTTAATATTTTTTTTTTTTTACTTTTGTTGCATAGGTCACGGAAGAACAACTTGCAGCTCTCTTCATCAACTGTGGACAGGTTGGGTCCTGCATATCTAGTTATCTGCATTAGCATAGAAATTTCATGTTATTGTAATTGATCCTTATCTCATGGTGAAGGTTGTCGATTGTCGTGTTTGTGGTGACCCAAAATCTGTTCTTCGCTTTGCTTTTATAGAGTTCACTGATGAGGGTAACTTTTGTTTCTACTTTGCTTTATGTATTTTCTTATTCCAACATTGACCAACTTCTCATGTTATATTCACACTACGTTGTTTCCTTTCACTTTTTGATCTATATCAGAAGGTGCAAGGGCTGCTTTAAGTCTGGCAGGAACTATGCTTGGATACTACCCAGTCAAAGTGCTTCCTTCTAAAACTGCAATTGCACCGGTCAACCCAACATTCTTGCCAAGGGTAAGGGAAGATTTAGACTTTTTGCGCCTAATTCTAGGTCAACTCTCCAATGTAATCGCTTGAGGTGAATTAAGATAATTTTTTGATTACTGTTTCTGCATTCGAGGCTAATAATTTCTTTGGCCTTCAGTCTGATGATGAACGTGAGATGTGTGCAAGAACTGTCTACTGTACAAACATTGACAAGAAGGTAATTTTGGCTCATGATTTCTATATTGGGGAAACCTTTTTATTCTCTACCACTTTATTTACCTTTCAGAATTCACCTTATGTAGATTACTCAGGAAGAGCTGAGACTCTTTTTTGGATCAATATGTGGAGAGGTTTGTTGTTGCCGATGGTTATTTTGTTGATGGTTATGCATTAGTTAATGTGAAGAAGTTATGTTTCATGGAAGGATGTATACTAAGATGCTCTCTTTTGATAGGTCTATCGCATGAGAATGCTCGGGGACTATCAGCATAACGCTCGCATTGCATTCGTTGAGTTTGTAATGGTCAGCATTTCTTGCTCTATGATTTCAATGTTGTTATTCACTTATTATGTTTCGTTGTCCATTTTTGTCCTCTATTTGGACTGGTCACCTCGCGGTATCAGCATTTACATGCATCTACACAAGCAATCAAACATATGACTTGAAAGAAGCCTGGGACCAAACACTTTTAAAATAAGGAGGTAAATTGACACTTTAGTTTGGAGAACTATAAATAAATATGTATGTCGACAGCTGTTAGCATATTTATCATCATAGTTATAATTCAAATAGGACAGTTAAGGCAATAGGTGTTTATATTTATTCCGTCAAGTTGTTTGCATTGAGAAATCAACCATGTCTATCGATTTGCGGGGAGCATGCAAAGAAACAACAATCATATGTCACATGAGAAGCAACCATTTTCCTCTATAAATAAGAGCCTAATAGTTTCTTCATTTTTTGGTGGTTGTGTCTTCCTAAAAATATAGATATCATGGCTATGAAAATATCTAAGTATGTCATAAAAGGAGTAATTTTATTTATATAGAAGAGTACAATAAGTCTAGTAAGTTGTTTTACGGTGTTGCTCTTCTTTTATTTCTTCATACAATAGATAGCATGCTCTTGTTTAAAGTCCTAAACCCTACCATTTATTTTCATGTAGTGGCTATTTCATGCGCTAGTAGTAAACCTATGTCTATGACAATCAACTAGACACTATTTTTTCTTTGTTGGCTGTTGTTTCCAGATACTATTTTATAATTATTCTAATCATTTTTTCTTATGTCCATATTTATGAGGCTTACTATCAATTGCTACATTTCCTAGTTGTTTGAGATCACACACTTTATGGCATGCTACTGAGGTCAGATGTTTTAATGAATGTTGCTGGAACGCATAACAGAAATCACATCAAGCGTTGCTTGAGTTAGACTCTTTACTGATCATCTCTTTACATATGACAAATTGTTGCTTAGTCCTACATTCAAATGCATGAACCTGATAATAACCATTTGTCCTCCTTATGAGGGTTTTTGATGATCTCATCTGACAAACTATTAACACTTAATGTAACTTTAAAAATCTGTGGTATAGGTGTTTTTGGTTAAGGTTATATTCTTCTGCATCACTATGTTGCGTACATATTTACATGGAAATAACAAACTAACGTGTGAGAAATTCTAAAAATTACACACACGTCAAGACAACCTGGCTTCATGATAGATATATTCATGCCATATTTTGTCTTGGTGTCTACAGTCCTATATAGTCCATGTTTTTTGGTATTGTCTTATTTTCAGATTTATGTGTTATGTTCTAGAATAAGAGTACTGTGCATAACAACAGTGACACACTATGTTGGCTTCTTATTTTACACTCAAGATTTACAGTATGGAATCTCAGTTAAGGACGTGTTTCAGCCAATTAGATATCTTCGTTTGGTGTCTAAACATGTACACCTCTTCTCTAGGTACTTTTAGAAAATTGTGAATGGCTAGTTTGTGAAAAAACAATAAAAATTGATCGAATCAGTTCAATAATATGGAAATTCAATTTTGCTGAAAAATATGGATGTGAGTACTTTAAATAGAGAGTTTGACCGTGATGAGCTCCTAACTGACAGGTCCCAGGATTGAAACCCTTTAGTATAAAAACCGACACATTGGTTTGTTGGTAATCAAGGTATATGAATGAGAGGTGGTGTCTAAGGATGTTATTTTGATTTTGGGTTTGAATTATGAAGAAGGAAAAAGTGATCACACTGAGCACATCAAACCTTTATTTATTAGATTTCATGCGTAATAGTTACCAATGACAAGCGTGCAACAAAGAAACGTTTGTTCAAACCAAAAACTTTCTATTTCATAGAATCATTCCTTTTTTACAAGAGAAGACACAAATCAAGTTTTAGGGGTTGTTTGTTTGCTCAAAAAAAGAGAAATGGAGGATTTGAAATCTGACCTCTTAGCCACATAGAATTTTAATTTCTAGACGTTTCTATTCCCAACGTTTGTTTCGCTGGGTGATTTAAAGAAATGAGGGTGAAATGGGGGTGCCATATCAGATTTTGTAGAAAACTTATTTCAGATCAAAAGTGGCTGAAATAGGTAAGAAATATCACATCGCTGAATACTTAATTGCTAGGTTCACTATTGAAACAACGACGGGAAGGTAAAGGGTAATATTTAATGTCCTATTGCTGAATATTTAATTGGAAAACTCATTTGATTTCTTAACTTTTGGATGTTCAAACAAACCCAAGAAATGTGAAACAATGTTTTTCAGCCTATGATTTCACTGTGAAACAAACCAAATAAGTCAAATGGGGAAAACCCTCTGAAATGTGTAGAAATGGTTTTCAAACTAGTTTTATGTTTTCTTTTTTTTTTCGGAAATGTACCAAACATACCCTTCAAAGAAACTCCTTATTTTTTTCCTGAAAAAACTATTTCTATTAACTAATCTAAAAAGAACTTGACTTCTGGGAAGACTACAAAAAAAATCCTATAAAGTTCTAAGTAAACTTGTTTATAAAGGTGATACTTTAAAAAATTATTCCAAATAGAATAAATTTCTATCAGGAAATCTATACCCTAGTCTAATAATAATTCTTAAATGCACTTGAATTACAGTTGTAACCCATAGAATAGTGCAAGACCGTCAGGGGTTTTACCTCCAAAAGGTCCAATGCATCTCCTAAATCAAGTTGACATGACTCTTGTAAGCTCTGAGCATATGTTTGCAAAGTACTGGCGGTGATATGGATTTGGATCCTCTCCACTACGGAAAAAAGTAGAGGACACCACTACTGTAATTTCAACCATTGATTATTCAATATATAGTGGTGATTTGTGTCTTTTTTAGGGTAAAATAGGAATGAGTATTGAGTGCAATTCATGGGGTTATGGTAAATGTTATATTTCAAATGAATCATAATTCTCCATGGCCATCCATTTAATAATCAGTGGTTGGAATTGAAAGTAGTGGTAATTCCACTACTTTCTGGTAGCGGAGAGGATCCAACTCCTGTGACATAGGTCCGATATCTTGCGGTGTAGGTTAAACATGCAATCGTTTGATACTCATTATGAGTCCCCCCCGGCCTGCTAAAATGAGGATCTATTCCATTTGGAGGTGGAGTCCAAATGAATCTGTAGGTACATGACAACAAAGCACTGGTTGGATGGCTCTCCTAAATAGTTCTATTTTTCCTCCTTACTGGTATAGAGATAAAAGATCCACCACTTTGATTCCTGTTTCAACGATCGATAATTTTGTATCTAGTGGTATAAAGGTAGGAGCAGATCTATAAATAGGAGATGTACAATTATCTACAGGACCTATGCAACTAGAGAAATATATCCTAATAAATTATGAGCACTTGTAAAAGGCATTACTTGTGATAACACTGTAAAACATCTAAATAAAATAAAAAATTAAAAGAAAATCTAAATCCTATTCTAATAATAATGGGTAAGGCCTGTCTAATAATAATTCTTGAATGTAGGGAATTCTAAAATTGTACTGGTAACCTTGTATCAGGAATAATGCAAGACAACATCATGACATCGCATTAAGTAGCCCACTGCATGTCTTAAATCAAGTTAACACAGATAATAACTCTAGTAAGCTCTTAGCTTATTTTTTGCAAATTGTGGACAGGCATATAGGTTCAGATATCTCGTTCAGGTCATCCGTGTGATCTTCTGGTAGTTATTGCTAGTTTTTGTCTTCAGTCAAATGATTTATCCCGTCAGTAGGTACATGCCAAATGCGACATGTTCTGTGGGTAACACATAAACAGAAGCAATGAGCAGAAGACTTCTATCTTGCTAGACTATAAAAGACCACATATTTTTCTAATTGATTCTCATTTACTTGATTTAATTTAAGAGCATATATTGGTCTAGGAACCAGACCTAATCATCGACTGGAAAAGATGTACCTTTGATGCAAACTATTTTCACTTAGCTTGGGACATTATGAACCAACAAGTGCATGTGTCGTTCAGTGGAGAAGGTATAGACAAACATGTCCAGGTTGGCCTTTGACATCTATTGGTTCATCAATATTTCTTTCTGTTGCAGATGTGAATCAAATCAGTATACCTGAGAACCGGTTTAAGATCCTGCAGCCAGTGCGTAGTATTGTTTTAACTCAGACTGGAGCTGCTTCAAAAATGCATCAAGTTATCAGTGTCTTTCTTAATTATTGTCTTACCAACTGAACCGTATACCAGCTGAAACAGAATTTTTTTTTCCTTTCTAAATGGTACCATTGCATGAGTCGAAGTTTTAGCCCTTAAGGGCGCTCAACCGGCAAGGACATGTTTGCACATAAAATTACAACTTTTTAATTTTCACCATAGCTTCAGAATTTTGGCGAAATGACGAAGACCTTGACATGTGAAATAACCATCATTGTTGAAACTAACAAGAAGGCATAACATGACGCTCGCCTCTTGATAACAAAAAATCATAACGCATAATGCAGGTTACATCTTTTACTATTTATTTAAATATTTAATAAATACAAAATATTTAAAAAGATTTTAATAATTTTCAAATATAACATCACAAATATCAAATACCATCACAATTTTCTTAAATAATATAAGTCATAATTCTTAACAACCGATTCAAAAGACGTATTTCGAGTTTTAAACAAAATATTGAAGAAAATAGGAATCCAAAGTTCTAAACAAATAAAATATTATCAAGTTTCTATTATAAATTATATTGAAATAATATATGCTATATTGAAATAATGTATGTTATATTCAAATAATACATTATATTGGAATAATGTATATTTTATTGAAATATGTTAATTTGAGTCAGTTGATTGTGGAGGTTGAAATATGAAAATAGCAAGTGGCTGATCATAGGGTTTCTAGGAGTAGGACATAATATTGGTTGAGTGTACAATAACCTTTTACTAGCCCGTTGATGTTTTTGTGACGACCCTATTTTTTGTGCATTTTGATGGCTTGCCCACTCTCATGTAGAGGTTCAACTCTTCAAGTTGGGAAAGATGTTGAGGGGATGTTAGTCAATTGGAATATTTTTTGTTAGAAGTGGAACATTTTTTTATTATGAGATAATTTTTTAAAGTGGAATATTTTAGTAGAATAATTGAGGGTAATTTTTTAAAATGGAATATTTTAGTTGGACAGTTATTATAATTAAGGATAATTTTTAATAATGAACAAGCATATAAGTTATGCATTTTGATGATCAGACTACTATTTATGTATTTTAAAATTCACTATTATGAATAATAATTATTTACTTTAGTGTTAATTAATATTGAAGAACTATTAGGTAGTCTATAAGATATTGTTATTATAATAATTTGTATTTTTTATCTTTTTGGAATTATTATTGTAGTACAACTTAAAAAACATAAGTTTTTCCTTTTTTTCTCTTTCTTTTTCAATCTGCTAGACATCATAACATCATTTTTCAATTTTAATTAATAATAAAATATAAATTTTATAATTAATTATAAAATTCTAATATTTAATTAAAAATAAAAATAACATTAAGTAGAAGTGTAAGAAGAGATGTGATCTAACCCTATGGTGTGGTTTGGAGATGATGGAGAGATAAAATATGAAAAATAAAAAGGCAAATAAGAAATTTTTTACCACCTAGTTGTAATTTGAAACTTAGGACAATTTGAGAGACTAGAACTCTCTTTTCTATAAAAATTTGACAAATGTGGGATAATTTATTATCATTATTTCAGTTCTCTTGTTTATCCATTTCGAGTTGACTAGCACTATGTAATTTTATCCTAGTTCTAATTCAGTTGATTAACACTATAAAATTTATCCTACAAATTATCTCAATTTTAGTTTAAGTTTTACTTTACTTCCCCCCACCCCCACCCCCACCCCCACTCCCCCAAATAGTGTATGCCTACTACGAATAATATGTCATTTTGCTTGCTTATGTAAATCATCTAGCATCTTATCCTTTGCCTAAAGCACAAAACATTCTTGCAATCACGCAAGCATTTTAATGTCATGATGTGTGGTCATAATTGTTGGAATTTCCTTACAGGCTGAAAGTGCAACCGCTGCTCTCAACTGTAGCGGGGTGGTGTTGGGATCCTTACCGATAAGGTATTTAAAAAATTTTCATCTGTAACGTCTACTTTCTTCTTCGAAATTATTTGTTAAAGATTTCTTCCATATTTTGTGAATTTTATCAGGGTAAGTCCCTCGAAGACTCCAGTGCGCCCGCGTGGACCTCGCCAACCAATGCATTGAACCTCTATAGACCATGATACATACATGCACATAGCAAGTAACGTGTTTTTGTTATTAGGTCTATATCTATTTATGCTGTAGCATTTTTCTATAGGCGTTTAGTAGCTTCACCTTCTCTCGCATACTGAAAGAAAGTATAGAATCAATGGGACTGTCAAAGTCTTACTGTTAAGTACGTTAATTCTCTTTATTTATAGTAAGCTCCAGGAGTGGAATCTCCGAACAGGTCAAACTTTGGAAAGAATTCAGATGGTTGGAAACTATGCTACATGGTTGCATCACTTTTGTTGCAGCATTTTTGTACAAAATTTTCTTTTCTGTCAAC